AAATTTTTATTGTATTTATTATTTTTATTTAATTCCATATTCCCTTTTACGTAAACAAAGATTTGTTCGTAATTTGTAATTAATTACGTATAACTAGAAGTTTTGCTTTTGAAAATAAAAATTTAAACTTTTGCTTTAACACAGAAAGGCTTCGTCCTAAACTAAAAATTTGGACCCACTTTTAGAGTTTTGAACTAAAAGTTGGAATTCAGATTTTACAAATTTTTTCAGACTTAATGTTTTTTTTACAGATTTTACAATTTTTTTTGAGTTTTTAAATTTGTAGATAATTCCATATTTCCTTTTTCGTAAGAAAGATCTGTTCGTAATTCGTAATTAATTATGTATAACTGCTTTTAAAAATTTTAATTTCAATTTTTGCTTCAACACAGAAAGGTGTCATCCTGAACTAAAAATTCGGACACAGTTTTAAAGTTTCGAACTAAAAATTGGAATTATATTTTTATCTAAAACCAGACTACAGAATGTTTAATGTTTTTTTTTTCAGGTTTTACAATATTTGAGTTTTTGTAACAAAACAGTAAATTTTACTTTTGTTTTTTACGTAAGAAATGTCGGTTTGTGATTTTTGTAATTAATGAAAAATAACTAGAAATTTTATTTTACTGTATTTTGAAACTATAAACTTTGTGTCTAAGCCCCCAAAAGTAGGCATAATTTGGCTTTTATAGGCCCTTGGGTTTCTTTTATAACATTTTTTATAATTATAACATGCGAAAGTCTGTAGTACCCATAACAACGACAAAATAGGTGATTTTGAGTTTTTACACTAAATTCATGCTTCATATTTTTTCAGATTTTACAATTATTTATCTTTGAGTTTTGTAAGTTTGTATTTTTTTGCTTTTTTTTAATTTCCTACTTTCTTGCACGTAGATAAGTTCTGTTTTCTTTAAAAATATTGCTTGTTCGAGACAACAACTTGAAAATAATCGATGTGAGTGAGCACTTGGATGACTTTTGTTTAATATGTGAGAGAAACACCAAAAACACATTTGATCCAACTTCGGCAAACTTATATTCTTCTTACCTAATCCCAAAGTTAGAAAACTTTTATCAAAACCAACTGTTTTCGCAAATAAATGGAATAAATAAAAAACCACTTTTTCTGCTGTAATTAAAACTCTTTATTATCTACAATTAAAATGGTAAATTTAAAACTCTAGAGGAAACTCGATTCCGGTTCGGGCCACATTTTCCTTGACCCATTTGTCCATTTTCTGATTCATCTCTTCAGTGAAATATTCCTTCCAACCACCAATCTCCCCCTTCCTTATAAAATCATCATTGACGTCCTGCTTCGTGTTCATGTCTCTATCCACCCCTCTCGACATGTATTTTTTGAAATGGGAAAACTCGAGTGTGTCCTCCAACAGTTCCACTTGTTCGGTTGTGAGTTTTTGATTGATAAAATTCGCGATGCTTGTAATGTGATGTCTGCGATTTTGTATAAAATCCTCGTAAAAAATAAAATGCACGTTTGGGGAGTGGCGGCGTTCCCAGCCTTGACTCAGATGAGTCCAGTAGGGGGCAAAGAGGGTTAAATCCGAAGTAAAATAGTTTAAAAAAGTTGAAATGTCGCCGGTGTATTGGCGGCCCTGACTGGTGCGTTGGAGGTGGTATAGGGACACGACGACGTCCTTTGGGTTACGAGCAACATAAATAATCTAAAATTGGGGGTCAATTTTGGCCAAAGTCTCGGTAAAACTCACTTTACAACCACAATTTAACAAATCCGGGGGCAAAAAATTGAAATGCAAGTGCGTTTTGATGACTCTTCGGCCCGGATTGGCCCTCAAAAAGTCCATGGAGGACCGGTACAATTTCAGTTTTTCGGCCCCTTGGTTGGTAGCACTGACCGCAGCGATGGTTTCTTTCGTCGTGAGTGACCTCGACCTGTCCCAAATCACACTTTTAGTCGAAAAAAAATCACTAACTCACTCCAAAAGAGGCACCCGGACGATTAACGAAGTATCCAGAGCTTTTCTCAAGTCGAAATTATTCAACATCAACCAAACCATCTCCTGGGTCATTGTGGTACCAGATCTGGGGTAGCCCATGACGATAACATCCCCCTTTCGAAACTTAAAATTGTAGTAATTGTCACACTCGTTGCAGAATTCGCTCGGGATTAGCATTTTCTGGGGGCCGACTTGGACGAGGTGATTGAGACCCCCTGAAAAAAGTGCTGGAATCAAGGGTGGGCACGAAGGGCTTACCTGAAAAATTGCGCGATATTTCAGCGTTTGTCTCGGGGTCTAAAGCCTCGATTTTGTGAGGAAATTTGAGGCTGGTGTCGGCCATAATCACGATTCGAGCGAACTGAGCTGAAAAAGTTATCTCACGAGATAGTTTTCAGGAAAAAATTTGGAATTGTAGGAATAAAATATTTGTCATTTTCGGGAGTAAAAATAATAAACATAAGTTTCAAGATTCGGCGAGAAATTTCAGCCTTGACAGAAAAATTCGAACTTAACCGTATTGAAAATAAAAAAAAATATTAGCAAAGTTTTAATTTAAAACTCAGATTAGATTTTTTCGAGAAACCGTTAAGTTTACAAAAATGTGTAGAACTAATTCCAATTCCAAAAAAAATTCCACCAATACTCTAGTAATTCCAATCTATTGTTTTCAGATTAATTCCAACTTAATTTCCGTAATTCTAAATTACATAATTACCGTACTTATAAATTAATTACTACATTTCTGAGAATTTGAATGTAATTTTCAAAAGAAACTATCTCCGATAATTTCAAAAAAAAATTCAGTAATTTCAGAAAAATTCTGGTAGTTCTACCGAAATTCCAATAATCCACCGTAATTCTATTGTTTTCAGATTAATTCCTATACTTAATTTCAAATTAATTTCTGAAATTCTAAATTATCTTACGTAATTCCAACTTAATTATATGTAATTAGAAAAAAATACCAAAATTCTAGTAGTTCCAATAATAAATCGCAATTCCAAATTACGTAATTACTGTAGGTAATTCTATATTCCTTAATTGCTATATTAAGAAATTGAACTTAATTTTCAAAAAAAAAACTATCTTCCATAATCTCAAAAAGGATTTCAGTAATTTCAGAAAAATTCAAGTAATTATACCGAAATTCCAATAATCCAGCGTAATTTTATTGTTTTCAGAGTAGTTTTTATAGGTACTTAATTCCAAATTAATTTCTGATATTGCAAGCTATCTTACGTAATTCCAAAAAAAAATACCAAAATTCCATTGATTCCAATAACAAATTGCAATTTTATTGTTTTTAGATTAATTCCAAATTGCGTAATTATCGTAATTGTAAATTAATTCCTACATTTCTAAGAAATTGAACGTAATTTTTAAAAGAAACCGATAATTTTAAAAAGAATTTTAGTAATTTCAGAAAAATTCTAAATTCTACCGAAATTCCAATTCATCGTAATTCTGTTGTTTTCAGATTAATTTCTATACTTAATTACAAATTAATTTCTGAAATTCTAAATTATTGTACGTAATTCCAACTTAATTCTAAGTAATTACAAAAAAAATACCAAAATTCAAGTAGTTCCAATAATAAATCGCAAATGCATTGTTTTCAGATTAATTCTAATTTAATTTCCGCAATTCCAAATTACATAATTAGTGTAATTCTAAATTACTTTTAATTCCTATATTTACAAGAAATTGAACGTAATTTTCAAAAGAATTATTTCCGATTATTTCAAAAAAGATTTCAGTAATTTCAGAAAAATTCCAGTAATTATACCGAAATTCCAATAATCCAGAGTAATTTTATTATCTTCAGAGTAGTTTCTGTACGTACTTAATTCCAAATTAATTTCTGATATTCTAAATTATTTTACGTAATTTAAAAAAAAATTACCGAAATTCCAGTAATTCCAATAATAAATCGCAATTCCATTATTTTCAGATTAATTCCAACTTAATTTCATTTTAATTACATAATTCTTGTAATTCTAAATTAATTCCTTTATTTCTACGAAATTCAACGTAATTTTCAAAAGAAATAATCACCGATAATCCAAAAACAATCCAAAGATAATTTTAATAATTTCGAATAATTTCGATCAAATTCCAAAAATTTGTTCTAATTCCAGAGTTAACGGCCCCTAGGATTTTTAAGTTTAGTTATGAAGGGTTATGAAAATTTTTATTTTTGGCGTCAGAATTATAGGTTCAAATTTGATAAAACCTTTTTCTTGGTTATTTTTTTAAATCAGCATTTAAGTAACTGCAGTTTAAAAAGCGGGCGCCATCTGTTTTCAGCTGTCCCAGTTCGCTGAACGAGCCCTGCATTTTCTCATAATTTGGCGGTAAATTTGAACCATCTTGGCATTTTCCGGTTTATTTCCGGCGTTCGTTCCGCAAAACGAGCAAAACTCGCTCTTGGCCGATAACTCTTCCGTTTTGTCAGCTTTAATTAAGAAGAAACGGGATAAAAGCGTGTATTTTTTGCACACAACAAGCCGGAACAATACGGCATCACCGTTGCAGAACCGTCCATTAATCAAAAATCTAATTTGCAATTGAATCTCTCTCTATTTTCAAATAGTTGCGTATGGGATTTTCGAGCGATCTGTCGTGAAATAGGCCGAATAAAGGGACGTAATTATTATTCAAGGGAAAATTCGCAAACCTTTTCTTCTTTGAAATTGGGACGTGGGAAACATCACAATGAACACATTGTGGTGTTATTAACGTTGGAATTGAATTACACGGAAAAGATTTATGCAATGTTTTCGGACGAAATATAGAATATGAATTTAAATGGGCCAAAGTCGGAGTTATTTTATAATTAATATGAGGGAAATGCGTTCACGCTGCCGTGACTTTCCCGATTGCGGAATGCTTTCAACTCGAACGGTTTAAACGGAAAGGTTAATTAATTTTTTTCAAACTTTATTGCAACATAAATTTTTGCCAAAGAAATGACAAGAAGCTTATTGTATTAGGACCATAAATAAGGCTTAAGGGGATTACAAGACGACGAGATATTACAAGGGATGATAATTTTAAGCGTGATTGATAACAGCTAACGAATCTAAATCAAAAATCCCCTAAAAACTTATCAAGTGGAAACTCCATTTAATCGCTGAAACTTTCCTTTAGAACCAATAAAAATCTCTATTTCGCCAAAAGATTTCAAAATAACTCGAAATTAAATTTCTCTTCAATTCGTACCTGCTTCGAGTGTCTCGGACTAATCCTGCGCTTCCAGATTCCGGTCACGTAATCCGGGGGTGTCCCGTGACAATTTTATTACTACTAGTATCACCGACATAATTAATACTCGCAAAGACATGATGTTTTACCATTTCGACGTCAAATGTGCCCTCCTCCGGGACCCCGGAGTAGTTCCATTAAAAACTCGCACTAAAATCCGACAACCAATCAAATTCCTCTCAGGTACAGGATTTTTTCAGCGATATGCTGAAAACCGGTATTTGTACAATTTCCAATCTAAAACTGGTATTGTTTGCTGAAATGTTCGCGACAGATGTTTGCTGAAAAATCGAAATTGGACCAATTATGCGAAACTCCGGTATATTTTATCTCCAGACGTGCTCTTAATTTAATGTCTTGCAAACGTATGGAGATTTTTGGACGCTTTTACGACCGAATATTCATTTACACGGCTGAAATCTGCAGTAATGCATTTTCAGGACCTGCTCCGGATCGGTATTACTAATTCAGAAAGGGAATTTATGGTTTTTTCAGCAGGGTTATCGCGGCCTGTGTTCCACAAGAAAAATAAAAACGAAAAACGATGTAATAAACACATATTTCATTTTCGCCGACGGGAAAAACCCCACTTACGACGGATTCAAGTCGACTTCAATTTTTAAGAAATTTTTTGACCATAATTCGAATTTGAACATTTTGTTGCTGGGAAAATTTACGACCATATGAAAATTCACTTCTTTGTGCAGCATAAATCTCTAAGAATTTTATGAGAGCGTGTCGCACAATTTCTTGCATTTCCAGACAAAGTACACATAATTGTTTGATAAAAGCAACTTCTCTGTTATGTAAATAACACCGTCGTAAATCTTTCTTTATTATTCCTTTGTGTATTGGCTGTTTGAATCGATACGTCTCGCGCTTTTCAAAAAAAAAATCCAATTTCGAAAAATAAATTATTAAATTTTAAGCGAGTGTTTGTGAATTATTTTGACACTTCTGGCCGTAAATCAGCCCTAATTGCCCCCAGTGTATCAATGTATCAATTTTTTCCGTGCTTTTTTGCAGTGTGCAACCGGACTTACTACGGGGACGTCGGTAAAACATACGACCTGCGCGTCATTAAGTCCTCGGAGACGAGACTGCCCTTCCTTTGCCATCTCACGTTCACCGCCAACGGCCAGAGTCACGGAGATATAGTCCAGGTAATTACGCCGCTCCGGGACGCCGCTCCCGACTTCTTCCGGGCAATAAAAATGATGGAAAACGCCTTTTTATATTCAAATTATGGAGCCACATTTAATGCCGCAACCAAATCAATTGTTTCGAGCAACGGGCCCCCTGTTGTGCCAAACATTAACCCGCTTTAAATTAGTTAGTATTGGAAATAAATCAACGTAAGTTTCATAATCCACTATCAGATAAATCACCCGAAATGGTGCTGTAAGCAATAACTCGGCCGATTCATTGATTGCAAAATATTACTCATTATTGTTGTTGCAAACATTGATTTAGCGCTGCATTTTTACCAAATACTTTACTTGTGGACTAAGTGCTACAATAATGCGTTTATCTGAATGACCATTGACAAACAATTTGGACTAAACAGACACTAATTTAATTTATGGCTCTGTTGTAAGGAGAAATATGTTTGGACTGAATAACACCCAATCAAAGTTCAATAATCCATCACTCCCTTTGGTCGACAGAGAGGTTATCTATTGATAATTGCCAACAATACATCGGTGGCATTGTTTCGTTTAATTCGATACTGATCGGGTTTGTGAACTCGATTCTTGATTATTCGCGTTTTTTTAACCACCTTGAACAGATTCGTCGAAACAGCAATTTCCAACTCCCCAATTTATGTATTTGCCCTCCACATGTAGAATCCAGATCTCAGTGAACAGATCATCCCTTGGCAATTCTCTTCAAATTTCCCCTATTCCCGTCTTCTAATCGTATTTGCCTTTTCTTCGAAAGAATGAAACTCGGCCCAAGAGACGCGTTATAATTTTATCGGGCCGGCCCACACTAATTGACGATTTTTTCAACCACGGATCTGTTATTACCTCGGCCATAAACGTTAATTTTACATTTTTCGACGTTAACAATTTCTATGGGCGCGCCATGTAAAATACATTTCCTGCAATCAATTTAAAATGGGAATATTTTTTGTTATTTACAGTTTCGATGGGTCTGAAATGTGAATCCTAAAACTGAAAAACACGTAAACAATGATTTTTTATTTTTTGATATTTGATGTTACCGGTTGTTATGGCGGCCTAAGCCCAGGCTAAAAATGCGTTTAAATGGGATTACCATAGTGTGGAGTGTCCCTCGGAGGGCGCACTTAATCACTTTAATCAACTTTAAGTCTGAACAAGTATTTCATTTAGGGATTCTTGAGCGAGTACCTCCGAGTTATGTTTCATTTCACACTCTGTAATTGAGTTTTCCGGATTACCGGCCCGAAAACGGCAGCTAAATAAAATCTAGGTGAAGCTTATTTATCGAGTTTCGAGCGAAATATTCCGAAAGAATTCCCCTTTTTCAGCAAAGATTCGATTAAGTTTTATTTAAAAGCCGGCGGAAAGTTTGCGTTTGATATTTTTTTGATAGTTTTTTTTTTCACAATCGAGTTTTCCTGCAAATCACCTCTGTTGAATTTTCATCGACTTTGACAAATGATGTCGGGGCAAATTAAACAACGCAATTATGTCATCGTGAAAAGATTGAAACGATTAAAAGTACGTCTCAAACTTTTGTCCGAAGACAAATTACCGGAACGGAGATACCGGAAGAGAATTGATCACCTCGCTTAAAAAAACAAACTGTGTTTCCGGTGAAACAAAGACGGGTGTTTTATGAAAATCGTTTAATCCGGGTGATAAACACAGCCTACTTTTCTCTGTCGGGATGTTTTTCTAATTGCCAAATTTATGCAAATCACGACTACAATTAAAGGTAAAAAGTTCGTCGATGCTATCATTCTTGTCTAACGACTGTTGAAAAACTTCGGAAACATATTCGCGAGCTTTTTATCAAATCGTGGTTAAAATGCGATTCGGATAAGAGGGCATGACTCTCATCAATCAGGCCCGGAGTGAAAAATGAGCGAGTATTGTGGCGGAGTCGCTACGACGCCGAATCTTCGAGGGAAAATATACGAAATTAAATGCTTAAACCGCCTTATTGTCCCAACGAACTTCATTGTTATTTCAGCTGAAGTGTATTATCTATACCGGAGTTATATCAACCGGAAACCTGAAACATGTCCACTGTTGAGCTTTCATAACATTACTAGCGGGAATCATCGCGCCATGCACATTGCACTAACTTTGTTACCGGCCAACCGATAAAATTCAAACACAATCCCTCTAAATTAAAACGCATAAAACATTTGTTTCCCTCCTCAAGAACAGTTTCATTGTGACAATAATTTAATTTCTCTTATAAGTATTAATAATGTTTATTCCTTAGAAACGAGTAGAAGTAGCACAACTTTATTTTAGAAATGGTTACTTATCTGACACTTTCTTAGCCTCCCCAACTGTCTTTTGTAGCACGATGTTTTGATCTCTATTAACTTTTTTTTTTAATTTAAGCATTTCTTTAAGAAATTTTTAAATGTTTCTTTGCAACTTTAGAAATTTTTTAAATCAGTACATCTGACACTTTCTTAATTTCCCCAACTGTCTTTTGTAACACAATGTTTTGAAAAGTCTTGATTGACATTTTTTAAATTTAAGCATTTTCTAAAGAAATTTTTAAAAGTTTTTTTGCAAGTCTAGAAATTTTTTAATCCGGTACATATAACACTTTCTTAGTCTCCCCAACTGTCTTTTGTAACTCGATGTTTTCAACGTCTCGATTGGCATTTTTACTACTAAATTTAAACATTTTCCCAAGAATTTTTCTTCTTTTAAAAATCAAAAAGTCAGTACATTTAACACTTTCTTTTTACTCTAAGCCAAAGTAATCCGAAGTAACCCAAAGTGGCCTAAAGTGACCTGAACCGACCTGAAGCTACTCGAAGTGACCTAAACATTATTTTTTACAATCTAAAAGACACTTTATTAAATAAAAATGAAACTCTTAACCAAATCCGATAGGATTTTACCACATTGACTAGTTTGATGCTATTATTTGAGTTTTTTTTTATGTTATTTTTCTTCCTCATTTTTTTTTTATTTGGAACATTTGGGACTTTTGAGTCTAAACAACACTTTACGACTCACCATTATCTGTTCTAGATCAGATAGTGTGCAAAAAACTGCATTTTAGATACGATGCGTCAAAGTTACACTTTACACATTTCACTTTACTACTTTTAAATAATTCATCGTTTGTTATCGAATTTTCAATGTTTTGGTTGTTTTTTATTTTATGACAATTAATGTCAAATTAAGAAATCAGCAACTAAATTGAAACAATTTAAAGTTTTTATTATTAAAAAAATTATGAATGAACCTATAAGAGAAAACGTTGTATTATACACGTAAAGAAACGTAATAAACTACTATTAATCCACTTGTGTTTATTTATGTGATTGCAAGTAGATGATTACGACAACGACAATTTGGTATTTCAGCGTTTTTTGGGTGGCAATTATTGGAGCACGCCCGACTGGAGACGCCCACCTGTCACCGGCTGCCAATCACTTGACTTGAATGATGGCCACGCCCATGTGTCACTCTACATTTACATTTCTAATAATTGTTTATTAAAAAACTTGATAGTTTTGAATGATCTGGCCCCGCCCCTTTGTGTTGATTGCCCCGTCTTTTTATCCGATCGAATTTGTCGTGGTTTTGTCCTAGTGTTGGTAAACAGTCGTCCGAAATCCCTTTGGCCATAAACAGATTTCAGGGAATTAGCGGCGTGTAACAGCTCCGGAGAAAGATGGCTGGGCCATTATCCTTGATAAATGACAGGACAATTATATGACGGTCGCCTCGAGGGGGGAAGCGATCCTTGGTCATCAATCACACTAAGATGTTTCAGGTATACATCGTCGTCGTAGTCGTCTGAATTATTTGCTTAATAATCCTTGGAAATGATCTGCGTTCCCACTTAACATTCGTTGGAATTTGTTTCCCAAGTTTTCGTCCCCTAATGCTTCCCCTCGGGCTGTTTCACCGGAAATAACTTTAAGATTGCGGTTTTCGCGTCCCGATATTTCGATTTTGACGGCTCGTAATGAGAGCAAACGCCGGCGGGAGATAAAACGTGGTCATGGCGTGATTTGTTGTCTGAGTATTTATGACGAAGTAGCGCAGCTTTGACGTTGGAAGAATGAATGTTGCGGTCTCTTGGAAAGTTGGCGGCGGTTTTTCGACGTAATGGAGCACCACGAACAACTTACACAATTTTACTAAAGACAAGTTTAAAGTTGAGAAAGTTAATATTTGGAGAGAAGTTTCATTGTTTACTGCCACTTGTATTGGATTCTATGTCGTTGATTTTTACACTTGGTTTAACATTTGCGCCGTTTCACGACCTGTCGATGATTGCATTATTGATGGCCGATTCTTTAAACGCAACACACATATTTTTTCACGTATGAAAGATCAAGAAAATCTCAAGAAATAAAATTTTATCGAGTAGAGACAAATTTTATTTGAAAAACAACTAAACTACAGGGTGTTCCCTCTAAACCCCACATTAAACGTATTGAAAGTTCGAATAATCATATTTGTTTAAAAATTGGTACATTGAATTAAGTCCTCCTAAATGAAATTTTTTTCAAGACGGTGGCACTTTCGGTTATACCGGAAGTCGGTCTCAACTTTCTTATTTTAAATGAAAAGCTATATTTTTTACTGCGTTTTTGGATTATTTTAAGGGAGTTTTCATCAACTTTCCCTATACCTAAATTTAGCCGTTTTTGAAATATTTGGAGTTTTTCAAAAAATTTTGGATTTGCACCTTCCACTTTAAAAATCGGTAACTCTGCTATTTTTTGAAATTTTGAATTCGTTTTTTTGGCGTTTGAAAGAGAAAGTTTAGATCTTTCTTCCGGTGTTTTCAAATTTTGAAAAAAAATTAACAAACCCTAAAATTTTAAGGTTACTTTTGTAATAATTCAAATACCCATAGCGCAATTTTTCCAAATAAAATACCCTAATTTTTATTTTACTAAATGGAAGAGAATTTAATTCTGCATCGATCTGTATTAACATTCTCTTTACCTAAATTTAATAATTTTTAAGTTATGGTGACTTTTTGTTAAGACTGTCGAAAATCTATTACGTTTTCGTATAGTTTGCTATGGAAATCAAAAATGTCAAAATTGTTTCTCAATAAACGTCGACAGTGACTCATTATTTGACAAACAGTGCCAAAATATGGAGAGTCAAAGCTACTCTAACTTAGATTTAATTAATTTATTTTGTATTTATGGAGAGTGTAACAAAATTATGATGTCGTTCATCAAACAAAAACAAATTTTTCTCACTTGTTAGCTTTAAATAATGATCGCATGGTAGACCCTATCAATAATGATTAAGTTTGCATAACTTTGATTCTTCATATTTTGGCACTATTTGTCAAATAGTAATTTACTGTTGATGTTTGTTCAGAGAAAATTTTTACATTTTTGACTTCCATAGCAAACTATGTAAAAACGGTAAATGATAATGTATATATAGGTATAGGAAATGCACAATTAAATCCTCTTCTATTTAGTATAATAAAAATTGGGGTGTCTCATTAGAAAAAATTGAGTAATGAGAATGTGAATTATTACAAAAGTAACCCTAAAATTTTGGGATATGTTATATTTTTTTCAAATTTTGGAAACACCAGAAAAAGGATCTTAAGCTTTCTCTTTCAGAGTTACCGATTTTTAAAGTGGAAGGTGCAAATTAAAAAAAATTTGAAAAACTACAAATATTTGAAAAACGGCTAAATGTGGGTATAGGAAAAGCTGATGAAAACTCCCTTAAAATAATCCAAAAACGCAGTAAAAAATATAGCTTTCCATTTAAAATAAGACAGTTGAGACCAACTTCCGGTATAAGCGGAAGTGCCGCCATCTTGAAAATATTTTCATTTAAGAGGACTTAATGGTTTATGGCTATGTACCAATTTTCAAATAAATACGATTATTCGAACTGGGGTTTAGACGGAACACCCTGTATAATTTATTCATTGATTTCCAGCTGATCTTCGACGAGTTCAAGGTGGGTCGCTACGAGGCCTCCGCCCTCGACGGCTGCCCCGACGGCTACATGCAACTGAGCGAATTGGGGCGTCCCTTTACGGGCGGTTCCTGGTGTGGCACCTCCTCCGGCCCCGCCGCCTACTACAGCGAAACATCCACTGTAACCGTCACCGTTAAACTCTTCGGCTCCCCCCACATCCCCTTCAAATTCCAATTGCGTTACCGTTTCGTGTCCCGTCGCGAAGCCGTCGTCCGGTTTGGTTCTCCGGCAGCCCCCCTCGAACGGGGCCAAGTCGCCCCCGGGACCTACTGCACCCGTCAATTCGAAGAGTGTTACCGCAAACCCTGTCGTTTGCAGTCCCCCAACTACCCTGGAATGTACCCCCGCAACGTCTCCTGTTACTGGAGTTTGAGACAAAAGTTTGTCCCCACTTGCAAACATGCAATGATCGCAGTTCGACAAGAAGCCGCCCATAAAATGCACATGAAACGTTCAATCAACGTGGCTGGGTTAAACAAAACAGCGAGGGCTTTGAGGGCGTGGCGGGACTGTACGGGGGAACGCGACCACTTGATTTTTTACGATGGGGGCTCAACGAATGACCCTGTCTTGGCCAAATACTGTGGAGGAGATTGGTTACCAAGAGTGGTGTCACGTGGTCCTGAAATGCTCGTCGCGTTTCACTCCTCCCCTTTCAGCATCCCACTACACTCCCCTCCATCGCAGTCCCCTCTCCGCGGATTTGAACTTGACGTTGATGTGATTTTTGCCGATTCGGATTCACTCGACTATTCTCGACAAAGCCGATGCGAATTTGACGTAAACGCGACGAGTCCCGACAGTGACGAGATTTGGACAGGGCGTGGCCGAAAAGGACGAATCGTGAGTCCCCGACACTCCCTCCCACCCAATACCACTTGCACTTATAAATTTCAAGGCTATCAGCATGACTTGGTCTGGATTAGTTTCGTGTCGTACAGTCAGAGAGCGCTTCTTGTCGGTGAAAGTGCGCACGCGTTACTTAGCAATAGTAGTCTAGGAGGTGGGTGTTCGACACGCCTCCGAATTTGGGACGGGGCTCTCTTATTGGAGGATAAGTGCGACGAACCGCCCCGTTTGTGTGACCATAGTGCGTTAACTAATGCTACGAGAGTGACACGTCCGTGTACATTGGAAGAGAGTTATCTGTCGACGGGGAGGAGTCTTGTCTTGCAACACCATACTGAAGATGGCACCGCCCTCCACCCCGCCTCGTTTCGATTGAAATACGAATTTATCGATACCAGGATGGGAGGGGAGCCTTGGCCGGGAAAAGAATCAGAGATTTGTCATAGAATTTTCCGAAAAAGTCATTTAGGGGAGTTGACTGGACCAAGAAATGTGTTTTTGTACGGCAGAGGCGGGGCTAAAGACCTACACTGTGTTTACCGATTCGAGGCGGATCCTGGCGAACGCGTTCGTTTGATTGTAAATAACGCGAGTTTTGGGTTAACCCCCAATTGTGAAACTGTGATTGATCCCCATAGTGGACGTCCGGTGTGCGAACACTACTCTAGTAGTCACATGACCGAATTAAGCGTGTGGGAACTCCCCTGGAAAGACGTCCGAATGCCTCGCGGGTGTCTTTGTGATAACTCGTCCTTGAGTAGCAAACCACTAGTGTTCTTATCAGCGTCAAAAACCCTCGAATTGCATTTCACTGCCAAAGACATGAACATAACCGAAGATTTCACCATTCTCCACTTCCATGCAACTTTCGAAATAGTCAAAATGCCCGACTGTCCCCGCAAACAACGAGTACGCGGATACGGAGGTAAGTCCCCTTAAAACCCAAACTCCGCCCTTGTGACTCCTCCCACTTATAGGCGACGTCCAATTCAACACGCCTCCAATCGACCGCAATGAGATGCTTTGCGTGGGCATGCCGTGGCTCATCGAAGCGCGCCACAACCGTTCTTTATTCCTGTTAAGTTGGGGGGCGTTTCTTCCACTCAAGCCCCGCCTCGAGGAACCCACCCGCTGTCCCACCTCCAACCGCGTATTGGTCTACTCCGGCCGGCCCCCGAAACTCGTCCGTGCGGTTTGTCCCGCTGAACCTGGGGCCCGCCCACTCGCCGTCCACGTGTTCAGCGAGGAATGGTGGGGCGAAGGCCTAGCCACAATCCACCAACGCCCTCCAAACTTCATGATAGAGTGGGTGGGTTCCGAACCGGGAATCTCAGCTTTCAGTTGGTTGGAGATTTCAAGATCGAGATCATCGCTGTTGCAACAACTCCAAGTCCCGGTGAACGTCTCAGCGAACGAGACCGACTTCGAGTGCCCCCACAAGTGCCCCGAATTGGATGCTTGTATCAGTGCGAGTTTGTGGTGCGACGGGAAGGATCACTGTCCGTCGGGGTGGGACGAGTCGGAGGCACAGTGCGGGGTTGGGAGTAAGTTGCTAACGACGCTCCCGGGGGCGGCGTTGGCGGCGGCAGCAGCTGTTATCTCCTCCGTTGCGCTTTTGGTCTGTCTGACTTTACACAGATTGAGGGCTAGACGCAGGAGGAGGTTAGCCAAGAAGAAGCTTCTCACTGGGCCGAGGTTGTTGGATAACAGTTTGAATTCTTGACACAAGGCTCCGCCCGTCGAGTATATCCACGTCGATCGGGAAACGACCGTATGAGGTCGACTCTTTGTCGGTTCGTCCGTCCCTATGCTCACTTATTATCTACCGGTGCCTTTCAGTGATTCCAAGAGGGTGAGTGGCGGCTTCGAGAGCGATTAAAGCTCAAAATATGGCAAGGGGGCACAAAGACAACGTTTTTTAACAATTCAGCTTCTTCTGAAATTAAGTTTGCAACACTGAATAAAATGACATTTGACATGTGTCACACCATTTGTCTTTACTTCTTCAATGTTGCCAACTTAACCTCAAAATCACAAGTAAATTTGATTACCCCTTTTTTAGTATCAACTCAATATACAGGCAGTCCCAGTGAATTAAAAAAGTTCATTGGTGACCACTAAATGGTAAAATTTAAAAAAAATATATAAGACATTGATAGATAGTAATCTAGTGCATTACCTAAAATTATTTTCAACCATACAGCGTGTCCCAAAAAAAAGATACGATACAGACTTGAGTTTTTTAAATGAATGTTTCTTTGCATTTTTGAATGTAGCATTTTACAACAACGTTTTTACACTAAACTTTTATTAGTCGATTTCGCTTAATTTTAGAAATAAAACGTTTTTTTGGCAAAAACATGCACTTTTTAAAAATTTATTACACAAAAACTAAGACAGCTAGAACAAATTTTTTCTTACTTCTGCAAAGAAGAAAGTACAGAATTTAAAAATTTAGCAATTCTTTAGTGTTGTGCATTTGTAAAGATTAATAAATTAAGAAGTTTGTTAAAAATGAAATAACTTAAAAAATTTTAATGGAACACCCTATTTTTGATTTTTGCATCTAATAGATTGAGAAATTGTCTATCTAAAAAAAAATTAACTTTTAGTGTCTAATTGATAAATGAAAAGATTTTTAACATTCAATAGTAATTACACCACGGATCACTTATCCACGGATTTATCCAGAAATTGTAAAAGTCGTTATAAATTCTGAAATCTGAATTATTTTATTGTAAAAATAAAGAATAATGGTTTCAGTTTAACACAAACGTGATTATTAAGTGATATTTCTTCTATCTCTTGTGCAACTGTGCACTTTTTGGCTACTAAAACAATAGTAGGTAATTTTTTTTAATGTTTACCGTTAAATATCTTTTTAGTTATGTTTATAAACACCTAAAAGTAAATAATTTTAGAAAGACAATTTAATAATCTTTTAAATGCAAGGGTGTTCCATTTATTTTTTTAAGTTATTGAACTTTTAACAAACGCCTTCATTTTTTTATCTTTGCAAATACAACACACTAAAAAAAATGTCACAACCTTATAGCATGTACCTTCTTCTTTGCGGTAATAAAAAAAAATATTTCTAAATGTCTTAATTTTTGTGTAATAAATTTTTAAAAAGTACGTGTTTTCCTCAAAACTAACCAAAATCGACCAATAAAAATTTAGCTTAAAAACACTGGCACAAAAATCTACATCCATAAACGCTAAAAAACATATGATGTTTCATTTAAAAAAACACAAGTTTGTATTGTAACTTATTTTTGAGACACGCTGTATAGTTGAAAATAGTTTTAGGCGATGGACTAGATTAGTATCTATCAAAGTCCTATATATTTTTTTTAATTTTACCATATAAAGGTCACTAATGTACCTTTTAAACTCGCTGGGACACCCTGTATAGAAAATTTGTTTAAACAAGGTCTTAAATCTCGATTAAGTTGAAAAATTCCAACCCCGATTAAGAGAAATGAGGGAAAATATTTCCACTCCGTGAAAGAGGAATCATTTCCCTTGTCAAAGCTTTGTGTTCAAAGCCCTCGCGTGGCCTTTGTGCCCCATTCGGAGCCTTCGCCGCCCCCCAGTGAGTGAATGCAGAGAAGACAATCGCATATAAAAATCGCAAATAAACCCTCAAACAGGTCGTTCTTAAAAAATCTCGTGCCAAAATTTGTGTGTCCTAGTGCGAGACTAGTGTTCTAATTAAAAAAACCTAGTTCCGAACTTAGTTGACTCAAGCCGTTTTTACCAAGGGTGTGATTTCTTGTGATAATTATTGAAGAGTTGGTTTAGAAGTTTTCATGGAAGATTCTTATTTATTGCTTAATTAATTTCATCGCTCCCCAGACGTGATTAATTGAAAGTACACAAGATTTGCTGATAATCTAATCCGCCTCAATTATAACACTATTGATTTTTTTTTTAGTAAATTAATTTAAAACAAATTTTGCCCTCAATTATAACACTATTGATTTTTTTTTTAGTAAATTAATTTAAAACAAATTTTGCCTCAAGTGCAAGCGAGATGGAACGATTGCTTGAATATGCAGTAGGCGCGAGATGAAATAATTTACATTCATGGCAACCTTGATGTGATCTACACCACAACACGAATTTTTCCCTGTCTCGTGATAAAAAAACAAACACAAACTTATGATAGACCGAGACTTCCACTCTGCGTTATTAAAATTTTAAACAGCGTTGCCGGGGTAATAAATACTTTCCTAATTACCATGGAAATTCTTCGAACAAAACGACTCCACTTAATTAACATCACCCTTAAAAATATTTTCTTTGCTTGCTTCAATATGGCGGCTATTACTCATCCCGCTATCGCGGCAGGCTTTGCCCGGCCATAAATATTTGATAACAGTGAAAAGTAGAGAGTTGTAACGTTGTTACTTTGTCACTGGACGATACTTTTAATCCGGGTGAAAAATTCCGGGTATTAAATACGGGATTTGAGTGGCGCCACTAAGAAAATAGATTCGAAAATTTGACATTTGAGGTTGTTGCCCCCGCTGCCAACCCTGCAAGACAAAATACACTAGATTCGCCATCGGGTGTTTAAATTATTGATGAGTGGATTACTCCGGCGCTGATTTCGTTAAAGTTTCTGTCAAAAGTGTTGTGGTTTGCTAAACTTTCTAATGAAATTAGTATTTTTCGCATCTCTCCCTCCAAACTTGAATCAAACTTCTGATTTTAAAGTGAAATTAAATTCCAGAGGGAAATTATTTTAAAACCATTAAAATGGAATATTTTAACCATGTTTGATGTTTACGTACATTTAGATTTACGTCTCGGTTGGCTGTAAACTCCAAAGTTTTCCGATAATTACACCACTAGCAAAGTTGTCTAGTTTCCGACATCTGTCATCAGGCGGTTTGCTTTTTCGCTCTAGTTGAGTAAATACTTTTGTCCTTGAAATGCGATAAATATCGCTTCAATTAAGCCCAAAACCGGGGTGATTGATAGCGCAGTCTGTTTCGAACGTTGCGAATTGTTAACTCAATCGTCTGCGAAACGTCAGACAAGCAAAAATTTATTCTGTTTACACTTGTTTTGCTATAATTATGAACGGAGGAATTTTTCACGCTCGAATGGCCAGCGCTTTATTCAATTTGGACGAACGTAAAATTATCGGAATTTTGTGTCATGCCATCGTAAAAAATAAGATCGAGGCGATTTGGAAAAACCGTTTCAAGGTTTAATAGACGCTTTATCACAAGATTGGCGTTTTTACGACCGATGGTTTCAAAATTCAAAAGAAAAACGGGACAAAGTCGAGCCATGAAGTGGAAATGCGACGAGCTTTCCAATTTTCTCTATAACAAAAAACATTTTATAAAGCGACTAATTTTTTCTGATAGTGACATAATTGGATTTTTAATCTGAAACAACAGATGCGTCAGATAAAAGGCAAATTTAATTCATTCCACTCGAAATTAAACAAAATTAATTATTAATTGAAACGCATTGGGAACCGGTTAAATGGGTTTAGTTTTAATAAAATGCACAAATAAAAAATCTCCTACTCGAAACATGGCCAAAATGTCCAAAAATTTATGACATTTTCATGTGAAATTGAATTTCATACATATACAGGGATGTCCGAAAAAAACGTTGAAAAATTTTGGGGGATGCTTTCCTATGTCAAAATAAGAAAAAAGCTCTTATGGACATATGTCCGAAAATGATTCCTTGGGGAACTAGAAAAGCAACCCATGCAGTGAGTTTTTTCTTATAAAGACAAATTAACGCTGTAAGAACTTTTTTTCTTATTTTGACCTAGAAAACATCCAAAAAAAATTTCACGTTTTTTTCAGGCACTCTGTATATTCAATTTTGACAAGTTTTACTAAAACTGACAAATTTTGAGATAAATAATTCATAGAAAATTTATTACAATAAAATATTAAATTGAAACCAAACTTTTTGGTAAAGAATAAATAAACAAGTGTAAATTTCATGAGATTTGTTGAAATATTCAAGTTCATATTGTGCTGATTTAATCTGAAAATGTACATAATTATTGATTGCTTAATTTTTACACTGTTTAATAGAGAAAATAACCAAGTTTACTTTTTGAAAATCGAAAATGATCATTAAAAAATATACAGGGTGGTTTTGAAAATATTGGCGAAATTTTACAGTGTTGGATATTGACATGCTAAACAATAGTTATTTATTATACAAGACGATAAAATTGAATTTTATCTCTGAGAGCAATTTAGCGTGGAGGAGTCAGCCGAGTAAAAAAGTAAAATTCAAGAATGAAATCTAATGTCAAAGATCGTTGGCAACTAACAACCGCAGATAAACAACAATGGATGTATTTTTTATCATCTAGACGATAAAATTTCATTTTAACATGAAGAAAAGTGTAGATAAAATTCAATTTTAACATAGATTGAATAAAATGTCTTAATAAAATTTTTCGTAATTCGCACCGTTACCGAGAAAAAAAACTTAGATACCTTAACCTTTTATCATAATGTTTCGGACTGGAATTGTGTTTTTTGTTATTTTTTTATATTTAAAATGCGAGAAAAGTTTATAATTATTTAATAATAATAAATAAATAATACAGATTAAACTTGACAATGTTTAATTCTTAAAAAAAATATTCACTATACTTGAAAAATTACAAAATTTTGCAAAACAGATTATTAGGAGAGATTTGATTTTAGGTAGAAAGATTTGCTTTTATTTTTGCCAGTAAATATTAAAAAAAATTAATTTAGGTAATAAATTCCCCGGTTTAGCCAGTTTTCTTCGTGCAAAAACTGTAAAAGCGTCTCGGTCTCGTGTCAACTCTTAAAACCACTCGGCCTTTAATTTATGTCCTCAGAGCCATTAACTGTCCACCCTAAGACAAGCACAAAGTCGATCGCACCCCAATTAAAAATTCCGCATCCCCCAGCCTAAAAAACCCATCCTTTTTTCGTTTAATTGGAGCAAACAGCTTCAGAACGCTTACACGAGCAAATATTAACAAATGTAATTAAGTTGCTCAACGGCCAGTCCTCCAACAATAAGATAACCTATTAACAATAAAGCAAATATTAACATCGTATACATGACCCAACTATGTAATTTCGTATTAACATATGAATAATCTGTATGGTGTTGTAATTAGAGTGCTATCTGGCTGCGAGCACATTTAACTTAATTGCATGCAAAATTTACACACACATGTAGGAATTTTCCATGAAAACTTGGGGAAAACTGTAGTTTATGTGAATAGACGATTTAAAAATTGTTAAAGTTGTAAATACGATTCGGGGAAGAACCGAGTGGTTTCACGCCAGAGGGCGCTAAACCGGATCATCCCCGTTTAGCGAATACTGTATAGATATAATGAGGTTACGGTAATGGCGGACTCGCCAACATGGCGTCAACATACAACTGCCATTTTTATTTCCGCGTTTGTACATAAATAACTATGATAATCAAGTAGGTGAACAAATAAGAGTTGTAACTAGATAGAACTGCACTTTATATTGTAAGCAATCACCAAATAAATAAATTATTAATAAGCTAGTTGTTAAACCTTCTCCACCAAGGCCAAAACATGTGTTTACACATTTTTTCGAATTTTTCCAACACATAAAAGAGGAGTTTGGCAAAAATCGCCACAAAATGCGCTCAATCCTTTTTTTCCCACTCATCACCGGAGTCGCGTTTTGCGCTGATGTAAGTTTCTCGCTTGAGAGTTGGCAACACTGTTGATTTTTCCAGTCGGGTCCAGTGGGCCCAATCACACTTTATGAGTTGAAAAAATGCGAACCCGACATCAACAACATCGATTTGGAGGCGAAATTGGAGACGGCTGACGACGGGAGTAACATCCTAACGGCTTCGTTCACAATCCCGGAGGATTACGGCGAAGAAGTCCAAGTAAGTCCAAAAAAAATCAGCTTGGTGGTGAGTATAGAAGTTACAGTTTCGCGTCGTGGCCGATAAATGGGAGAACGACGACTGGAAGAGGAATGTGTGGAGCATGAATCCGGCTTCGTTTCTCAAATTCATCAGTGAGAATTTGGAGAAGACTTGGGGGAACTTCCGAGAGGCGGTCGAGCCGAAAATTGAGGATGCGATGAAAGTGCCAAAGGTGTTTTTGAGGGTTTTTAGCCACTTTTTCAATTTTAAACTTTTTTTCCCTCGCCTCAAATAGCTCGCAGCAGTTGACCGGGGTAGCATCTATACAGGGTGTTCCACCTAAACCCCACTTTAGAAGTATTGGGAGTTGGAATAATCATATTTATTTAAAAATTAGTACATAGCTATAAACCATTAAAGTCCTCCTAAATGAAAATATTTCCAAAATGGCGACACTTCCGCTTATGCCGGAAGTCGGTCTCAACTTTCTTATTTTAAATGGAAAGCTATATTTTTTACTGCGTTTTTAGATCAATCGGGTTATTTTAAGGGAGTTTTCATCAGCTTTCCCTATACCCACATTTAGCCGTTTTTGAAATATTTGGATTTTTTCAAAAATTTTTGGATCTGCACCTTCCACTATAAAAATCTGCCGTTTTTTAAGATTTTAAATTCGTTTTTTTTGGCGTTTGAAAAAGAAAGCTTAGATCCCTTTTTTGGTGTTTTCAAATTTTGAAAAAAAAAATAACATATCCCAAAATTTTAAGGTTACTTTTGTAATAATTCAAATACTCATAACTCAATTTTTTCAAATGAAATACCCCAATTTTTATTTTACTAAATAGAAGAGAATTTAATTGTGCATTGATCTGTATTAACATTCCCTATACCNGTATTTATTTGGAAATTGGCACATAGCCATAAACCATTAAGTCGGTTTCAACTTTCTTATTTGAAATGGAAAGTTATATTTTTTTACTGCGTTTTTGGATTAATCGGGTTATTTTAGGGGAGTTTTCATCAGCTTTCCCTATACCTAAATTTAGCCGTTTTTGAAATATTTGGAGTTTTTCAAAAATTTTTGGATCTGCACCTTCCACTTTAAAAATCGGTAACTCTGCCATTTTTTAAGATTTTGGATTCGTTTTTTTGGCATTTGAAAGAGAATGCTTAGATCCTTTTTCTGGTGTTTTCAAATTTTGAAAAAAAAAATAACATTCCAAAATTTTAAGGTTACTTTTGTAATAATTCAAATACTCATCTCAATTTTTTCAAATGAAATACCCCAATTTTTATTTTACTAAATAGAAGAGAATTTAATTGTGCATTGATATGTATTAACATTCCCTATACCTAAATTTAATAATTTTCAAGTTATGGACTGTTTTTTAAGACTACAGAAAATTTATTACTAGCCAAACCCGTTTTCACATAGTTTGCTATGGRTATCAAAAATGTCAAAATTTTCTCTAAACAAACGTCAACCGTAAATTACTATTTGACAAATAATGCCAAAATATAGAGAATCAAAGTTATGCAAACTTAATTATTATTGATAGGTTCTACCATCATTATTTAAAGGTAACAAGTGAGAAAAATTTATTTTTGTTTAATGAACGACATCATAATTTTGTTACACTCTACATAAATACAAAATAAATTAATTAAATCTAAGAGCTTTGACTCTTCATATTTTGGCACTATTTGTCAAATAATAAGTCACTGTTGACGCTTATTGAGAAACAATTTTGACATTTTTGATTTCCATAGCAAACTATACGAAAACGTAATAGATTTTCGCAGTCTTAACAAAAAGTCACCATAACTTAAAAATTATTAAATTTTGGTATAGGAAATGTTAATACAGATCGATGCAGAATTAAATTCTCTTCCATTTGGTAAAATAAAAATTGGGGTATTTCATTTGGAAAAATTGAGTTATAGGTATTTGAATTATTACAAAAGTAACCTTAAAATTTGAGGGTTTGTTAATTTTTTTTTCAAAATCTGAAAACACCGGAAGAAAGATCTAAACTTTCTCTTTCAAACGCCAAAAAAACGTATTCAAAATTTAAAAAAAATAGCAAAGTTACCGATTTTTAAAGTGGAAGGTGCAAATCCAAAAATTTTTTAAAAATTCTAAATATTTCAAAAACGGCTAAATTTAGGTATAGGGAAAGTTGATGAAAACTCCCTTAAAATAACCCGATTAATCCAAAAACGCAGTAAAAAATATAGCTTTCCATTTAAAATAAGAAAGTTGAGACCGACTTCCGGTATAACCGGAAGTGCCGCCATCTTGAAAATATTTTCATCTAGGAGGACTTAATGCATTATGGCTATGTACCAATTTTCAAACAAATATGATTATTCGAACTCCCAATACTTTTAATATGGGTTATAGACGGAACACCCTGTATTCTTACTCATTCATGCAAGTGTGTGTTTTGATCAGTGTATTGGTCCGAAAAAAAGTTTCACTTGCATGAAACACAACAATTAATTTTTATTTAGGGGGAGTACAAGTTGGAGAAGCACCAGCAGGAGTGGCACGACGTGGAGTTGTCTCAAGTGATTTACGGGAGGTTTTTGGCCACGGTGTACTTGATCGCCGGCGGGGAGGAGTTCGCCTGCCTCCAGGCCGAATTGGAGACTTTCGAGGAGGAATAACTGATTTATTTTCTGTTGTAATTTGCTGATTCACACAATAAATTTCTTTGAATTTCTCGTGTATTATGTATTCGGTGTTAGCCTTAACTGTGGACATAGGACTGACACGGCAACTTGTGGACCAACAAAGAGACATAAATATTTAAGAGAACCGCAGTTTAGAGGAGCACGTCCGGGCCAACCCATATAATTTGTGGATCCCTCGAGGGTGAGCCGACTGCAGTCGTACGATGCAGATGCAATTCAGAGGCACTGTTTCGTTCAGAGAGGTTTTTTAAAGGTGAAAAGGCGAAGCGATGGATTGGGAACACGCTGATGAAGGGGTTGAGGCATTAATTATGCAAAAGCCGGACCCAAATCCCATCTTTGCTGAGTGAAGACTAGACGACAGTATTGATTTTTCCTGACGGAAATGGTAACAAGATTCAAGATTCAGTTATTGTTTATTCTAGGACTGCAAATAAAAAGATTTGATTTTATTTCGTCCCCAAGTCATCCAAAAAATATGCGTTTTTAGCAAAAATTGGCAAATTTTATCGTTTTTATCGGCCGCACATTTTGAGAATTTTTTCCACTTCAATTGTAAGTTCGATAAAATTTAAAAATTAAATTTTGAAAATTTTTAGTTTTTAAATAGCAAAATTTTTTGTACCCATGAAAACCGATTTTTCAAGTTTTGAGTTATCGCCTAAAATCTATTATCTAGTCTAAATGCAGTTTCTCGCATTTAAAAAAAAAAACTAAAAAATTCATGAAATGTAAAATAAAATTATAATTTTGCTAGTGGAAACGACCTATAATGACTAATATTTTCCTCCAAGACTAAATAATAATAATAAAGATTTTGTCGATAGAGTTTTAAAAATTTGTTTTTCGAAATAATTTCGGTATTATGAACAAAAATGACTAGTCTAAAATTAATAATAAAAAAAAACGTGGTAAAAAATCTGACAAAAACAGATTCTTAGAAATTGAAAGGTCCAACAAATAATTTTTGAGTTGTCCGGAGACCTTGAAAATATTTCTTTATTTTTTGTAAAATATCGTCGACGAACCCGAATCTTTGACAAYTTTCGAGTAAACACGAATCTTAATCAAGTAACAATTTTTGTACTCCGGAACCGAATAAATTTAYAACAACAGGATACAGTTTAAAACAAGGAAACAACCCAGGAAATGTTTGTCGAATGAGTTTGACAAGTTTTAAAAAAACAGGATTTTTGACGTAAAACGTAATTTTCTATCTGAATATGTGCTATTAGGACCAATTTTCAAGATATTTTTAGCGCGAAATCCGGAGGTAACTTTGAGAAGGTTTTTTGAAAACGAATCTTGTGTTAAATCGTTAGAAAAATCCAAATACATTGTTACTTTTTATTTATTATAACCGACAATTTTTTGCCCAAATTTTAAACGGTATAAATATGAATATGTACTATAAAAGATATTTAATATGTAATTGAAAAACAAAATCCAAAATATTTAGTTTTCATGTTTTCAAAATGAAAAAAAAACTCTAAATTTATAACCAAAAAAAATGGTAAATCCCATTATCGTTTTTTGCACTCCTGGGTCTGAAAAAATAATAGTATGTATTTTTTTTTGAAAATTAATTACGAAATTATAAATTTAAAGCAGATAAAATTTAAAAAATCTCAAAGAAATGGAATAATTATTCTTTTTCGGAATTTTAAAAATACTAAATACCACGTAACATATTCATTCTCAGAAAAGGTCAAAAAAACTTGATAAAAACAAATTTTTCATGTTAAACTTTTTTACAATTAATTTTTTAATTATTTCAAGGTGACTTTCAGACGATTTTTCTTTATCGTATGAAAATTGTCGTCAGATAAAGCCAAATTTTTGACAATTTTCGATTAATTGAAGTTAAATTAAATTTTCAATGAATGTAAAAATTTTAAACACGGATCTGAAACTTAAAAGTTTTGTTTTTGGGACAGAAAAAACTTTTCTGTAATTTTCTTTAAACAAAATTTTTATTTTATTTAAATCTGCTTTTTTATATCACCCTACATGAAAAAAAGATGAAAAAATACCACAAATGCTAGAAGCATGATTTTTAAAATTTTCTATATAAATCAATAACAAAAAATGTGTTTAAAATTCAATTTTGTGAAACATAAAATTTCTTAGTTTTAAAAAAGTTTAAACCTTGATGAGATAAAGACCAATAAAAAAATAATTTATATTTGTTCATTATTAGATTTAAAAAATCGATTTCATTTTTTGCCGCATTATACAGGGTGTTTTGTAAAAAGAAAAAAAAGTGAAATGTTAAAAAAATTCTATTTGTTAAAAAACTTTTACATTTATTTTTTGACATTTGACATGTATTCTTGATGATAATCTTGTATAAGTATATTTTTTCATAATTATTTACCTAAGTTACAAAAACTTTGGCAATAAAAGCTACAAATAACGTTACACAGAGTTGCAATTCAGGATATAGCCCCTTTATTTCCTGTTCTGTAGTCTATGTATAGCAAAAAAAAACATGTAAAGTTATTTTTCCAACAGAAATAAATAAAGTCAAAGAGCAAAATTTAATCTCTCATAACTTCGAAATTTATATAAGTATATAAATCATACCAAGATAGAATTTTTTTAACATTTTTTTCATGTTCCTTGTATCTTATTTTACTTGGCATTGTTCTTTTTTTGTCTTTTTATAAATATTTGTCGAGCAAATTAATTATTCAAAATACATTTATTTCGAGTTTAAAATTGTGAAAAGAATTCGAATCATGCTTATTTTTTCCATTTTCGAGCAATCGACAGACAAAAACTTATGATTTCCTTATTTTAATTAATTGAATGAAACCTAGTTTTCAAGAGTCCGGTACAGAGAGGTAGTTATAAAAAATAAACCAACTACAAATATTTCATTTATTTAATCTCGTTTTAAACTGTTAGATAGACAAAACTTTGCTTAACTTTTAAAACTGACAAAAGATTATTAAATTTGGAAAATATTCCAAGATGGCGGCGGGACGAAATATGGCGTTAAACCCGCCGTCGCACCTGCGATGGAGCCATTATCCCCCGCAAGTCTATCTCCATCACCTGTGACGTCCGCATTAAATTCTCCCGTCAGAATCTTGTTAAATTTTCATAAATACATCTGTAACACCAATTCATCACCGGAAACTGTAACGACCTTTGCAACAACATGCATTTTTTAATTAGCAAAGACACGTGAATTTTTTACCCCCGGTGCACATAAAAGCTTGTTTGTGCAACGATGCATCAAAATGAAATTTTTAGCAGTCGTTTGTGCACTGCTCGGGGCGGTCAATTCGGAAGCGCAGGTAAATTACATTTTCCGCACAGTGCGGAAAAGTAACATTTACGCACGGGGGGTTCCAGATCGGACCAGTGGGCCCCATGAACTTCCACGAAGTCAAAGATTGTGATCCCGTAGATAATAAAATTGATCTTCAAGTGAAAATTAGCTACAGTGGGGACCAGAGTGAGAGTGCCTCGATTGCGTTTAACCTACCTGAAGACTACGGAGACGAACTTGAAGTAATTTCGCTTGAGAGAAAAAAACAGTTTTAGTGAGTTTTTTAGGGCTATTTGTCGATCGATAAGTTCGAAAATGATGCTTGGAAAAACGGGGTTTTCGAGCAAAGTAAACCCTTGCTTGACTTTTTGGAATCCTTTGGTGGACGAGCTTGGAAAAACTTCCGAAATGAGATTCAACCCAAAATTGAAAACCCGCGACAGATCCCAGCTGTATTTTTTCAATTTTTTTAACAAAATTCTCATTTTTGGTTTTAGGGTGAGTACAATTTGGCCTCCTACAAGGAGACTTACCTCGATTTGGACATGCCCCAAACTTTCTACGGCCGATTTAGAGTCACAGTAATCGTCAGTAACTCTGATGAGCCCCTTGTTTGTAAAGTGGTCGAAGTGACCATCACTGAGCCCGCCCCTGGATTGTAATCAGTAACCAAAAAAATAATAAATGTTTTTATTTCTCGCATGTACACAACTCAAATTTTAAAAACATCACAGGCCGACTTATAAATGCTGTCACTCCCATGAACCCCTAAATTATTCAAATAGCTATAAAAACGGTTCCTCCTTTTCGTATTATGTGCCGCTCGCTCGAATTCAGACCGTGCTATACTCCTCAAAGCCGGCATGTAATCCAAAGCCAAGTCTCCTCGGTGTAGACACTCGGCCGGTAATAAAGCTTTCTGTAATCTTTGCTCGGACCCGATCTGTTTCAAGCGCCACCTACAATCAAATTAATCAATGGATAATTGTGACAAGTAACAAGGCCACCTTCGTTCGTCTTGACCCGGCAGTGTAACATCAAACTCAACCCTTGAATTATCAAAATTATCCTTAAAATAATTTATTTGACCACTTAATAAAAATTGTGCTATTTCATTGCTTAAATCAGTGGAATTATTAAAAAGAGAGAAATTCTCCTCAAGGGTCAGACTATCCTTTTCTTTGCTCCGCCATGTCCGCTCTAAACTTTCCTCAAACCGGTTTTTCCCACAAATGACGTCAGCAAAAGCCAACGAATCGTAACAATTGACTAAAGCTTGAAACTTCACTTTCTCGGTTTTCCCCCCCGTCAAATCACAATTTTCCCGATTTAATCGATAATTGGAAAAGTCGGGCATATTTAAAATCCTGGGAAAGTTCCACCACATCAATTCAAAATTATTACAGTGTGGCCAACTAAACGACTTAAAATTGGTCAAGACCTGACCCACACAATTCGAATGTGTTTGAATCGCGTCACTAGCGCCCTCTGTGTCCAAACCGAACAAGTTTGGATCGTCTTCTATATCAATTGACACACTAGTGTCACCGCCAGTGCTACCAACATGATTTCCGTCAGGTTGACCACCCGATGTGACCCACAGTTGTAATTGCAACAAAGTCCGTCTGATGTCGCCCCTATTATACGCTAGTAACTCCCCAAGTGACTCAATTTTGACAAAATAACCTTCAATCAAACACAAAATTTGTAACCAAACTGTCAAAATTGACGTCAAAGGCGAGAAATGAAACACCCGACAATCGTTTATGATTCTTTGGATGGCGCTAGATGGCTCATCGGTCGTTGTTAAAACAATTGGTCGTTTACTCGTTGACATTATCTGCGAGAGGGCAGCACTGAAACCCTCATCCTGGTCGAAAACCACGTCCACGTCTTCGACCAATAGGACGCATTTGCTCGTGTTTTGTTTTTTCTTAACTTGATGCGATTGGGTGGCTTCTTGTAACTCTTGAATGAGACGTTTACCTGTCAATTCCCGAAGTGAAAAACAGTGCTGCCAACTGAAAAATACAAACCGGTCCGTTTACTCGATGCGTTGACTTCGAGGATGTTGTAGCCGAGTTCGCTGCAAACGGCGTAAATGGACGAAGTTTTGCCACTTCCGGGGGGTCCCTTGAGAATTACAGTGTTGCCGGATGTGGTACTATCGCGACTATCGCTGTCGGTAATGTCGAAATCTGATTCGCTGTTGCGTCTTTTGTTTTCTTTAAGGGACCAATGGGAAAGCCAGGCTTTTAAAGATGAGACGACTTTGTGATTGCCGATTATGTCGAGAGAGGTCCTCGCTCGGTATTTTTCGGTCCACATCGTGTGTTGGTGATTTTCACCGGTTTTTACCGCAATTTCTGGGGGTTTTTCTAGGGGATTTTTCTTTTTACGACCGCGACGTTTTGGCGTTACCTCTTTCACTGTTTCAATTTTATAACCGCTTTTCTCATACAACGAATTAAATGTCTTATAAACCGGATAATTGGGATTCTGTAATTTTATTTCTTTGATAACTATTTTTAAATTCGTTATTTTCTTTGGGGCCACAAATTGCTCTTGGAAAATTTTCTTTTCACCATCGCTAATATTGAGCAAATTGTCAATAACAGAAGGCATAATTTGCTTTTTTTCGTCTAGACTTGTCAATTTTAAATCAACTTTGGGTAAATCCCAAAAAATATTATCCTTAGATATTTGCTGGACGTGACTTACAATCGGAAAAACATCAAAATCCGGCTCTTCAGTACTAAAAAATCGAAAAATTATTACTAGGTTTAGAAATATTCTCACCTACAATTGCAATTTTTCTATTTCTTTCTTCAATGAAGAAGGAATACCACTCATCAAAAACTGTCTTTTTGCTTCCATTGCTTCCGGATCTAATTTCGGTTTAGGCACAGCTTTTAAGAAAACTGGTGCCACTTTCATCTTCTTCTTCCTTTTCTTCTCATCGTCAGAATCAGAAAGTAAAAAAAAAACATCGTATTTCTTCGGTTTTCGTTCTCGTAATACTCTCCGTGAGGCATTTTCGTCGGAAACAGAGTTGGCTGGGTCTATGTCAACTTCGACGACGTCAATGCCACTGTCACTAGACTGCGGATTGACAGAGGCATTGTCAATGACAGGGGAATTTTCAACAGCGAGAGACGCATCATCAGCACTTGCCTGGGTGTTGACAGGGGCATTTTCAACAGTGACGGAGGCATTTTCAGCACTTGGTTCGTTGTTGACAGAGGCATTTTCAACAGACGCTTTCTTGTCTATAGCCAACTTGATCTTAAATTTCCACTTTTTGACATTTGGTGTCAATTGAACACAATCTGGTGCCTCGTTTTCACTGTCACTGTCAATGACAACACATTTGCTCCTCCTTTTAGTGACAACTTCATCGTCACTTTGACAATCAATATTCAATAACTTTTTCAACCGTTTTCCTCTTTTTTCGAGCTTGGAAGTGATGCAGTTGCCGATTTCCTCATATTCTCTTTTACGTTTGGCAGCCCCCTTGGCCTCCGCCCAACTCTCAAACCGACTTTTCCTCTCCTTTAAGACACTTTTAACTGAGGCTGTTTCCGAGTCATTTGAGTCAATTTCACGCCCAGGAGAATTCCCCCCGATACTCCGATGTCTGCTGTTCATCATAAATTGAAATGCGTTGATTGTGGAGGACGCGGGGGGCCCATTGGAGAGAGTTTGGGGGGTACCCTCATTTGATTGCTTGTTTTTCTTGGATAATTTTTTACCGGTCTTAGTCGGAGTTGGGTCCTTCATTGTTTCTAAATCATTTTTTGCTTAGTTAACATTCTAAAAACTGCACTAAAACACAATACACAATACTTGGCGCCAAATCATCGATTTGTTGACATGTTTTGCTGAATTTGAGGTTAAATTTCATGTGGCTAAGGTTACGCAACATAAAAAAATATCATAATTTACTAAATCAGGCCCCAACATCAATAAAACGCAAATTGTGACTTTTCTTTACACGAATCTTAATTGTTTTAAGTATGAATTTTAAGATAAAACATCAAAAAAAACATTAATTTTACTAGTGACTCGTGGTTTTGTCATGTTGGTATTTTTCCCAACCAGGCAACAGTTGCCTTCCTGAGTGAAAGTAAACGTCAGTCTTGTGGTATTACGTCAAAAAATAAATCTTTTCGTCCTCAAAAACCTAAAAAACGTCTCAAAAATTGCAGTTTTCTGTCGAATTTCAAGTTTTGGTGATTACGTGACTATGGATCTTTAAATTGGATCCATAAATTACATAATGTTCTTCACATTCAACTAGTTTCCTGTGCCAAAAAACATCAGGTAAATTTTTGTCCCTGCTTGTTTATTACGATTTTTTTTTGTTAACTAATCGTGAAAATCAATTTGTGCGGTATTTAATCCTATGATAACGATTTCCGCTTATCGAAAAATGTGGGCCATTCGAGGTCTCTGCCCCCAACACATGGCCTGATAATGCTAATTTGCACTCCATTCAGTGGGGGCTACAAATGTACTAGAAAAATCCTTGTTTACGATTGAGAGAACTTTGATACGGCCAAGTGAATCATTGGAACAATTCCCAGATTTTTATTCGCGTTAAAAATAAATCCCTTGTCAAAAAATGACTAGACTTAATGCGTTTTTATCACTCTTGGACATAATTAGTTGATAAAAAGCACTGTTTATTTGCAAATGTAACCTTGAGATAAAATTCAATAAAATTGTGAAAGTGAAAAATTGATTTGTTTTGCTGAAAACAAAAAAAGTGAATAAAGTGGTCGCTTTGTTTTGTTTTCGTTTCAGTTGTTCCCATGGGTGTCGCGTTTTGAGAGCAGATAATACAAATATTGTTTTACTCTGGAACTGAATGATAAACAATTTGTTCAAGGACAGGGTCGGACTAATTAAAAATTGATTCAATTCGATTACGTAACAATGATTGGAATAAAAAACACGCACTGAAGGAACCGTTACGGTTACGAAATATAAACTTGATTTTTTCGAGAAAGTTTGCTTTTTTAAATTATTTAAAAAAAGTCATAATAATTAAGTGAATAAAGCATGTCATGGTCACAAGGTATTATAGAAAAAAATCAATTAAGTTGGCCGAGCTTCGATTTTTCAAAATATTTTGTCTCACTTCATCACATACAAAAGACAGTTTTCTGTCTCTTTTCCTAGTATTACACAGGCGACTCAAAAAATGCTTGAAAACAATCTTGAAAAAAGTTATATTTACAAAATCTGAAGTAACAAACTTATTTTATTCACATTACATCATATTTTATTAATTGTTTTTTTTTTATCTATTATCAGCTTTAGCAGCTTTTGAATAAAAAATATACAGAATGATTTTTAAAAAGCAGCAGGCGCTGCATAGAATTTTTTATGACCGGATTTTAAAAAATAATTAAATTAAATAGCTTTTAATTTAGTATAAGCTGACAGTTTTAAAATTTTTCTAAATATCAGATGTCATAGTATATTTTGGGCTATATTGAACTTTCTAATTTTAATAGAAACTAGATTTTATTACC